TCGTTGTACTTGTCTACAGACTGGGAGTCAGTGAACCATGACTCAAGTAACTCGTGACTCGGTGCTGAGGCTCAATTTGGCCAAAAGAAGTCGTCATTTGCGCACGTGCAGGCCCGCGCGCTTAGCCCTCGCACGCAACTGTCATTCCTCCGCAGGAACGCACGCCTACCTCGGTAAAAGCAGAGCTCATGTATTCAGCATCTGGTGTGAGCGCATTCCCAACGTGAAACCCGGAGGCATTTACGACGCCAAGCCTTACAAATGCCCTTATAGCCCTTAACTTGCTTACAGTTCCATGGAAAGAACAGTGTTTCCTATTGCACATTCTTGCCCGCAACCCGCACATGGCCGCAGCCAGTGAATATGTTCATGAAACGTGCGTCAGTTATCAGAGTGCCTCTGACGATTACGCCCAAACCGGAATCAACCAAGGCAGCCGCAGAAGGAAGGCAGTGTCCTATCAGTCTCAGCACCAGGCTTAGCATGCAGGCTTACATTTTCGAATTTCTGCAAAAATTCCCATTGTACGATTGAAAATTCGTATTGGCAAACAATAATTTTCAGTCATTCCCCTTCAGGCCGGTAAAATGACATGGAGAATAAAACGGTCGGGGTAGGGGGGGGGTGTAATTATTCATCTCAGTGTTCCCTCTTCTCATGCATGCCGGTGCCAGTGTGTTGAGGACGTTGGGGGTGGCGCGCAGGGAGGAGAAAGGGAGGGAGGTTCAATGTCAGATGCGCGGCGTGTGTTTGGCTACCCTTTGTGGAGAGGGGGTCGCCTCTGCTATTTCTTTCTGCTCATGTCTCTGATGAAGAATCCGCGACGGATGTCGAAAAGAAAGGCGAATAAAAGTACTATCCGAGTGATCGGATCTTCTTCTACCCTCTATAGCTTAGTGTGACGTGGTTTCGGACGGCGTGGCTTTGGGCGGTGTGAGATTTCCGGTGTCTTGTGACAGCTGAGAGTGGGTTTTGCTAAACGGATTGTCACTGCTACGGCTGTGGCTAGCACCCGTTTGCGCAGACCCTAAGAGTAGTGTGTGAGTGCCTGGTGTATGATCTGAAAGGTGGTTCGTATCGATTAAGTGGGCGAGAATTTAACTTGAAATCGATCGATTCTCTCCTTTGCCAGGCCAGACTAGTATGTGTTCGCGTACCCTCTTCTCCAGACGTTGCGCTGTTCGGTCAATATATCCTGCTCGCAGGAGCAAGTGAATGAATGAATGCACATGGATGTGGCCTGTAGCGGTAGTCGGTATTTATCCCTCATCCGTAGAAGGGGAGATTTGGTGAAGTATACAAGTAAGTTTGCCGTCGGGAAGGCACTCGTGACAGCTGTCCTTAGACGTCGTCTAACCAGTTCGCTTTCTGCGTCTTTAAGAAAAGGCAGTCTTATAAATGAATCTTTCTTTCTGCCGTTGCAACAGCAGGCTCTAAGACACTCCTTGAGGTTCCGGAAGATGAACCTTTCTGGATAACCATTTTCGCGGAGTGTGTTTTGAAGCTGCTGCAAATGTATTTTCACTATTTTGGGAGAGCAGATGCGTCGTATTCTGGCTGCCAAACACGATGTCTGGAGAAGAGGGCATGCGAACACACGGCAGCCTAGCTCGACAAAGGAGAGAATCTATCGATTTAAAGTTCAATCCTCACCCACCTAATCGATATGAACCACAAGGTTGACGCGAGAGAGGCCTTTCAGGTTACATACCAGGCACCCACGCACTACTCTTAAGGCCTGCGCAAAGGGGTGCTAGCCACAGCCGAAGCAGTGGCAGTCCATTTAGTAAAACCCACTCTCTGCTGTCAAAAGGCGCTGGTACAAACAGTTTGCATCCCTTGGCCAATTACATGCGGAAATCTCGCACCGCCTGTGGCCACGCCACCCGAAACCACGCCACATCTAGCCACAGAGGGTAGTCAAAAACACGCTGCGTGCCTGACGTATGGACATCAAACTACCGACCGTGAGAACATCTCTGGCGTCAGCATGTATGAGGGGAGGAAACACCGAGATAAATAATTAAACCCACCCTCCCCCTACCCCGAGGACCATATAAACACTGTACGTAACTTATCGTTTTATTCCCCATGTCATTGTACCAGCCTGAAGATGAACGAGCGAAAACAATTGTTTAACAGTACGAAATTTCGACTTTGGCGCTCATTTGAACCGCGTCCTGCGCAAAATCGATACTCGCCAGCCACTCAAATGCAGTACACTATGCAGGCATGACAATGCGGCGACTGGCCGAAATCTCTGTGCATCTGCATCTGACTGAATGACTTCTGATTTCCTTTTTCACCTTTTTTGTCCAATTCTTTACTCAATGGTTCTCTACATTTGCTGATTCGCCTATTGCATGCTGAGTGCCCAGATTTGTTTAATATATAAGCTGTGCAATGTAAATAAGACATTTTATAATATTTTGCAAATATATATGCCTCACATGCATGCTAATGAAACATTAGATATCACCCGGCATACTTTCTGCCCGCCTTATCTATTGCAGGCATCCTTCTCACACCCGTTATCAAATTCATTCTTATTGTTTCTTCTGCATTCCAACGCAGTCATCGCCTAGTGTGCTGGAAGCTGTACAAAACCAGATTTATTCAACTTTTCTAATCAGTATTATGTCAATGACGCATTGATTATGATTCTAGAAGGTGAATCCCTCATACACAAGGCTCTGCGCCTGCGTGGGATGTTTCATTAGCGCTGACTATTGAAAAGCTCTAAGAGGATTGAACGAATTCTTTTAATATCCTAATTGTAGATATGAATCTATTCCGATTACGAACTGTGCGTTCATTAACTCCAATATTATGGCAATGCCACATGTCGAATCTGACGGTGAAATTGAAGGGTATGGGTCTGCAGATGGAGCAGAAAAGAAGGACTCACTTGATCGTGATGACTTGGCGGAGCCAGAAAGCAGTAAGTGAATCAGGCATTTAGAGTCAGCAGTTAATTCTTCGCGGAGCACTTTATGACCTCGAGTGTTTTCTCCCCATTAGGAAAAAGCAGGAATCAGGTGCATCCCTGGCTTAGAAGACTCTTATTTGAACCAGAACTGCGTGCGATCGAAAAGGTGTCTAAAGAGCTTGAGAAGGAGAAAGAGGTGGCATATAATACGGAAACCGAGAATGAATCCTACGAGAAAGGAGAGGAGGAGGTGAGAGATATGAATGTGAGCTGCGTCGATCATCTGAAAAAGAGGATAAAAACACTCTGAGGATGATGATACTGATAAGCAGAAGAAGACGCTACAGATGCAGCCCAGAAGGGAAGACTTTATTGGGGAACAAGAGGTGCAAGACAGTGATTACACGATAGAAACTGCAGTTTGATAGAAAGTTCAAAGCGCAAGGAAAGATGCCAACTTTATACGTAATCGAAACCAAAATCGATAGCAAAATACAAATTGCAGTTATGTTGGCTGCGGAGATTGCAGTGCGGCCTCTGATCTCGAAGAGAAGATGAAGAGCTGGTCATTAGAAAACCGGCATGGAATCGTCCAGTAAATCAGTGATGCCTGCGCTATCAGTTCGATTTCAATTTTACGCATTTCAGTACGCTTTTCATCTGTAATAATAGCCATGGCTCTTTTCAATGATGTACAGCATTTTAGGATGACAATTATTTTGGACAAAACTCTTCTAACCGTATGTGGAACCGTCTACGAAACTGGTGGAAAAGATTTGTTTGTTGTATAACATCGCGAAGGGCGGAATACGCACTAACATTTTGAACTTGTTTCAGTTCCATCGAAGCACATATCCTTTATTATTATTATTTTCCATA